TATCTTGAGTGGTCTTAGTCCGTGCGGTTGGTGATCGACGGCAAAGGGAAACTCGGCTATTTGAATGGCGAAGTAAAACCACCAACCACTGATGATCCAAAGTACAGGCAATGGCGTTCTGAAAATTCTATGGTTACCGCCTGGCTGATCAACTCTATGGATCCTGTGGTTGGAAAACCATTCATGTTCCTTACAACTGCTTGTGATGTGTGGGAAGCTGTTAGGGAAACCTATTCAGATCTAGACAATCATTCACAACTGTTCGAACTGAATACCCGAATGTGGAAGATGCAACAAGGTAAGCGTGAAGTAACTGCTTATTATAATTAGATGATGGCTGTTTGGCAGGAGTTGGATTTATTTGAAGAAGAAGAATGAGAAAGTCCGAGTGACAGTGCTCGGTACAAAAAGAAGATAGAAAGAGGTCGGGTCTTTGTCTTCTTGGCTGGTTTGAATAAAGAACTCGATGAGGTTCGGGGACGTATCTTAGGGCGAAAGCCTTTGCGTAGAGAAGAAGCACTACGGCAAGTGATGTTGAAGAATGTTAATGAAACAAAAACTGAGAATGAAGGGTCCGCTCTTGTGGCCTGAGGTGTAGACGTTGACGGAGATAAACGAGGAGGAAAGCAAAGGCCTTGGTGTGATCATTGCAAAAAGCCATGGCATACTCGGGAAACCTACTGTAAGCTGCACGGGAAACCAGCAGGTTGGAAGAAAAAATCAGTCAGGGGGAGATGTCCGCGCGCTTCAAGTAAGCAATTTGGATCCAGGGCAGCAATCATCATCATAGTCTATTCCTTTCACAAAAGAACAAATAGAGCACTTGTATAAAATGTTTCAATCTCAATCGTTAAGAAACTCTAACCCATCCTGTTCTCTAGCCCAGTCAGGTGCCACTGATCATATGACCGGAACTTCACAATTCTTCTCTTCATATACACCTTGTGCAGGGAATCAAAAGGTTAAAATTGCAGATGGTTCCTTTGCTACTGTTGCTGGGAAAGGATCTGTGTCTATTTCTCCTTCTCTAAACCTTAAAGATGTTCTACATGTTCCTATCCTATCATACAATCTCTTATCTGTCAGCAAACTAACCCTTGATCATAATTCTCGGGTTAATTTTTGGTCTTCTTGTTGTGAATTTCAGGATTTAATCTCGGGGAAGATGATTGGGGGTGCTAAACTGGATGGTGGCCTCTACCTCTTTAATAAAGGATCAACCTTTGGAAGGCAAGATCAACAGACTTGTTTCAGTTCTATCTCAGTTTCTAGTGACAGTGAAGTTTTGTTATGGCATTATCGGTTAAGACATCCTAGCTTTCAATATTTAAAGCATCTATTTCCCAAGTTATTCATGAATAAAAATCATTCATGTTTTAAGTGTGAATCTTGTGAATTAGCAAAACATTATCGTGCTGTTTTTCCGTCCCAACCATATAAAAAATCAAAACCATTTACCATGATTCACAGTGATGTTTGGGGTCCTTCTAGAGTAATAACTCTTTCTGGAAAGTGTTGGTTCATTACTTTTATTGATGATCATACTAGGGTCACTTGGGTTTTCCTTTTAAAAGAGAAATCAGATGCTGAAACTGTGTTTAAAACTTTCTATAACATGGTTCAAACACAATTTCAGACTCAGATTAAAATTTTTCGAAGTGATAATGGAAAGGAATTTTTTAACAATGTGTTAGGGAATTTTTTGGCTGAGAAAGGAATTGTACACCAAAGTTCGTGTRATAATACACCTCAACAAAATGGGGTGGCTGAAAGGAAAAACAAACATCTCCTTGAAGTTGCTAGAGCCCTAAGTTTTCAAACTAAGGTTCCTAAGTATCTTTGGGGAGAAGCCGTTTTAACAACCACTTATTTGATTAACAGACTGCCTATATGAATTTTAGATTTTAAAACACCCATACATGTTTTCATTGACTGTTTTCTAAACTCTCGGCTAGTGACAAACATTCCCTTAAAAATTTTTGGAAGTGTGGCCTTTGTTCATAACCATGATCCTAAACGTTCAAAACTTGATCCAAAAGCACATAAATGTATTTTTGTAGGCTATCCCACTAATCAGAGAGGTTACAAATGCTTTGATCCAGTTTTGAAAAGGATGTTTGTGAATATGGATGTCACATTCTTTGAAGGAACCTACTACTACAGACACTCCCATCTTCACGGGGAGAGCAACACTAGTGAAGATGGTCTTTTAGTTGGTTCTGATTTAATGTTTGAATTTGTCCATAATGATGTTCCTCACA